TAGCAAAAGCTACGTCCTTGCCTTGTTCTTGGCCTTAGAGGAAAAGCTTCCAGTCCTTCATCATTAAACATGACAGGCACCGTGGCTTTGCCACGTGTGCAGAAGCTGTGTTGACATGATCCCCTTTGATTCCTGGATTATTAGTGTTTATTATGAGCAAGGGCCAGATTTTCCCAGGTGCTGTTTCTTCTCCTTTTTGCTGTTTTCTCTTGCTCTGTTAATGTGGTATGTTACCTTGACTTTTTCCATATGTTAAACTATCCCTGCATCCGAGAACAGTCCCACTTAGTCCTGGGATCGAGTTCTCTCATTGTGCTGATAGGTTTTATTTGCTAGTATTTTCCTTTTTAAATTTTTTTTACGTTTTGTTTGTTTTGTGTGCACATGTGGGGGGTGCATTGTATATGTATGTGCAGGGACACATGGTTGCTATGGTTTGTGCATGTGGAAGTCAGAGGCAGTTTTCTCGTACTACCATGTGGGTCCCAGGGATCAAACCTCCAGCATTGGCTCTCTTCACCTTCATGTGGGTTCTGGGCTTTGAACTTGGTCCTCAAGCTTGCCCTGCCAGTGCTTGTGCTCAGTGCTGCTGAGCGCTGCAGCTACCCGCTGCCCCCCCCCCAGCAGGCTTGCCTCTGGAGAGAGCCCTGCATCTGGAATGCCAGCCTTACAGAATGAGGTTGGAGGTAGTCTTTCTTGTGTCTTCAATTTTTAGAAAATCTTGAGAAAATTAGTATTTGTTCTTTTTAAATGTTTGGTGGAATTGCTAGTAAAGCCATCAGGCAAGTGTTTTTTCTTGGTTTCAAGGTTTTTCTGTTTTTGGTCTTTGAGACAGGGTCTCTCTTTGTAAACCAGGTTGGCCTAGGACTCACTATGTAGCCCAGGCTGACCTCCAATTCACAGCATCATTCCTACTTGGGAATTGGCATGACTCTTGGGAAGTTTTGATTGCTGACCCTAGGCCTATTCAGATTTTCTGTTTATGACTTTTTCTTAAGTTTTTCGTTGGGGGGGGGTTCTTTTTGAGACAGGATCTCCCTGTAGCCCCAGCTGGCTTGGAACTCACTGTGTAGACCAGACTGGCCTTGAATTCACAGAGATCTGCCTGCCTCT